GCGCACGCGTACACGCAAACGCAAACGCGCGCGCAGACACATTCGCGCACTCACTCACTCACACACTCACACAAACCCAGAGGCATCCTTGATGAATGCCACCGATGTCAGAAAACTGTTAAGCATCTCACAGACCTCACTGTACGCACGCCACGCAGTGGCCGTTTCGGTTCGGGAGTACTAAATGCCCTCCGAATCATCCGAGATAACAGGTATATTGCGTTAACCTCAGAAGTTCACCAACCCCATTACCGGGAGGCTGCACGACACTATGTATATTCCAATGGTTTTCCACAATTCCGAATTGAGTAAAATCCTAGATAATAAACCGCTTATGTTGGTGTCACGCAAACACACCCTGTGCGTCAGGCATGGTTCACTATAACACACGAAACCAATTCCACGATTAAATACCTACATTTTCCCCCCAAAATACGGACAAAATGGAAGTTAAGTGTCCGCCACGCTTTCACTGTCTGTCCTCCGTCTTTGTGTCTGTCTCCGACTCACGGTAATCGGTGTCACTCCAACTCGAAACTGAGCCTCATCAAACAAAATGACATTGAACTGAAGACAAAAATAGATGGGAAGTAGATGTAATATTAATAGACCCGACAGGCCTGAGACAAATCTAAACCAAATTTGCCGTGGCGTCTTGTGTCGTGTGGATCATGTTTCTCCGCGGACGAATGGCTGGAACTCTTAGTTCAGCGAAACACAACAACCCTCAGTTGGGTTGTGTGTACAGGCATCGCCCCAACTCACCTCACATCTAATCGTCTCGTCTAGCCTCGGTTCATCTTAATCCATCTTATGTGACTTGCGAGGTTGAGGCACCCATCTACCAGGGATTCGGTTTAATTTTCTCATACGAATGAACGTCTTTCACTACCGTATTTCGGCGTATTTTTGAGAACTATAAATCTCATCATTGTTTACTTTATCATGAGTATTCAGCTTCTAACCTAAAAACACGTTTACATCTGGCGCAACTCCTTTTTCTGGGTGACCCAATATGTTTGGAGAAACACTTTTCCTGTCCTTCAGGCTTCCCTGTACTTTTTGATAGTTCAAATCAGCTTTGTTTATACATTAGAAAATAATTGACAGCCTTCCTTTGCTTATCTGCGTTGACTGTACCACACTTCTGTCAGATGATGTCCACCGTGCTCACCGACCTGACTCAATCGTCTCCCAAGATGCTGGTTTTTTATGCTCAGTGAGCATTCCCAGGTTTCATGATGACGTTGTTTTCGGTAGCCCAAACGATGAAAAAAAGATCTGTTCACATTTACACACACATTTGTTCGTGTTTCCGAAGTGAGGTATGGTTTTGAAGTCGCGCTTCTTTTGTGAGCTCCTTTTGATTCATAGCCATCTATGTATATTTTAACAGATCCCTACCAGAGGGCTCGAGAAAATTCCGAAACAAATGCTAATTCTTTGACTGATACTCTAAGTGAGTTTTAATCAGGTCCACCATGTTGGTCATTCTTGATTGTCCTGCCTGCTTAAGACAATTCAGCGAATGTTCACTTTAGCCCCGGTGCAAGACAATGGAAGAACGGAAGGAAGCAAGAAAAGTGAGTGTGAAGTTCGGTTTTTTATTGTGTCAATGTCTGACCTTCATAATGAATGCAGTGATAGTTGTCCATTTTGTCGTTTTTTTTCATGATTGGCATTTCCCGTTTTATCTTTAACCAGTACTAATAAACTTCCACTTAGCCACGATAGTCCGGTGGATGTGGTCAACTCATGTGGTCTTACACTAGTAGTTGCCATTGTATTGAGCCACCATATCTGCTGGAAGTTCGCTGTGAAAATGCACATCCGAAGAGTAACTTGTGTTTGTCCTAGAAACGGTCTTCCAGTGAATGGAACAAACGAGACTCCCAGCTGTTAAAATTTGATGAGTCATGTGCAATTCTTTGGTATTGTAATCAAACACAAATGCAGCTGGTATAATACAGCAATATCTAATATTTTTGTGATTTATATTGGATTCACTAGTTAAGCATTTTGAATGAGCAACATTGTCCAGGCTCATCCTATGTGAACCCTCCTTTATGAATAGATAATCATCAGAATCTGAACAGTATTCAAAATTGTTGTGTAAATTCAGACGTATTATTCTCGTCTACAATCAGAGAAAAAACCATTGCCGTTAACTAACGATGGTAAGTAACTGTTTGTGAATTTTTTGCCTGCGTCCTACAAAACGGGATACTGATTCGGTGCTTCTGAGCTGTAATAAATCTGTGTTCATTTTTCACCATCATTATCATTATCTTCAGCTTTAAAATAGTGAAGATATTGCGCGCCGAAATAATCTTTGCCGATGTCATGAGGTGGTGGATAGGAATGCATCGGAAACAGTAGACGCTATACTGGATGCGCGAATCGTGGAATATCGATGAGGCTCTCAGTGTAGCAATCTAAAGAAGGAACTATGTACTGAGGTCGACAGTATGGATGCATGTGGTTCACTGGGTATGTGACTGGACCGCATCTGTTAACGGCCTCGTCGAGGTTCCCATCCGAGGAGATTGCTGCGACTCACTATGCTTTATACTCAGTTGTCAAATCATTGTTTCAAGATTCTAATCCCAAATTTCAATCCCTGCAAGGTTTGGGGAGCTAAACTTTCTTTAAAGCAAAGTAACCCGTTGGGTTTCCATTACCGGCGAAAGGAAGAAGGCAGTCGCTACGGAGTGATTCATAAGAAATGGCAAATGACCAGTTACAGACAACTGGCCAGGGAAGCAAAACTCTCATATGCAACTTATTTATAAAAACTGAATATCCATTTACTCTTGAACGTGTCTTTCTGAAATTTCCTAAGTATTCGTTGACTGTTGCTCAAATCCAAGCGAATGCTATAAAGCGACTTCACAAATTCCGCAATGAATCTCACTTTTCAAGAGGCCCAAAGTGAATTTATGGGAAAACACTACTCACATGCCTCCCCCATCAGTAGTATCGCCATTACACCGGTATCTCCACTTGAAAATTTTTTTGAGTTTATTGCTGAGGTGGGATACATTTGGATGCAGTCTGTGAATTTCCACACAAAACAACACCAGGTGTTTGGTTGCCAGAGAAAACTGAGGCTCTTGACTTTACCTGTTTTCTGAATTTAACAAACAATCCACATTCAGCGCGCTAAATGAAATGGAAAACTCAGTTTGTTAACTTCAGAAGGATAGACAAACTGGTACATTTCACACATAGACCTAATAGCTTTCTTCGAAACTCCCGAAATCCCTCGTTCACTCAAATGTTGATGATTATGTACATATCCTATCCACTAAATCCGAACCAAGTGAAATATGAAATTCCTCCCAGAATGTGCTTCAGAGGTCCTGAAAGCAATCTGGATATTCGATTAATACAACTGAAAAACCAGATAAAATGCTGCCATACAAATTCGCCGATGTTCATTCTTGGCTTAGAACGAACTTGGTTGACTTACCCCCTCAGAATCATATCTGAAGACTAACCCATACACGATTATTAGAAGGCCTCAATTAGTAACGTCTGACATACAAGACTCTCGTTTGAATGAACTTACTCCTATCCAAAATTACGCACTGCTAATGGGCTCTAATAAAAGATAAACTTTAGTCTCGTGTTTGATCCTTTGGCATGAAATTCCTAGGGAAACTGTGCCGTAACAAAAGAAGGATTGCTCAAAGTTGAGTGATGACGAGGATATGGGCTTCCGGAGTGCATGACAGTTCCGTGCCAAGCAAGAAGGCTTGCATTTAGTCGACATCGAGAAGATGTGACGTCATTTAATGAGATTCCCAGATTGTCCGCCATAGAGAATCTTTTGGTGACGTATATTATGGGGTAACCAGACTATGTCAAGGTATTTTGTTCATAGTCACACCACTCTCGTTTGAACGGCCATGTTCCTGTTCTGGCGTAATTATTCCGGTGAGTCCACACCAAAAGGGAGAAGCACTGCACTCGAGTTTCGCTCTTATTAGAGCTCATCAGCAGTGTATATCTAATGGCCGTGCCGCGATTTGAACCCCAGACATCTGACATGCGAGGCGAGCGTGTAACCACTACTCCACCAACGCACGTTGGACGAATCCGAATTTCCACGTCTGAACAGGCGAACGTGTTCACACTTGAGCGGTGTAATTGGTGCGCTCGGCTGATCGAACGACGACCCAGTAACTGTCCTGGTTGTAATCAGTCACTCACACAAAGGAAAGAAGATTTGGTAACTAGAAATTTAGAACTAAAGCAATATAGGGTCATACGCTGGTGGATACATAATGACCAGATTTCGGACACATTTGTCTCGCTTATCCCTTTTTCCGGCTTAACAATACCCCGCCGAACCTTAAACTTTGTTTCTCTAATTGTCCATATCTGGCATTGATTTTGTTTTCATATCTTCCGCCTGACTGCATCAATTGCAGTACCAACTTCAATAATTAGTCACAAATTACACTCCTTACGAAATGCTGTTGGAAACTTCTTTAATCTCCATGCGTGTTCCTGGGGATCGACAGCTCATAAACAGTTATTGAACACTACTACCTAGATTCATGAAGGGAAAAACTTCTGCATTTGAAATACACTCCGATCAAATCACCCAAATAGTACGTGTTGCACATTACTACCTAGATTCACGAAGTAAAAAACTTCTGCATTTGAAATACACACCAACAGCTCTCATACTGACCGGATTTTCTGAAAGTATTTTAACCATTAAATCACATATCACTTTTGAGATTGATTAACCCTTGGGTTTCTGATATCACCAACAAGTTACTTTAGGTTTTTTGGCATTCCATTGCGGTGGACAAAAGTATTGGATGAAATATGAGCAATCTTTCCTGCATTTCTTTACCTACAATATCCATACGTTTGTTGCTATTTGAGCACCGCGTCAATCTAGAATCGACGGTGCCGCAAAAATCCCATATATGCGATTAAATTGAAAAATTAGCGAATTAAAATATTCCCTGTTTGTGACTAGTACCTGCATCGGCAAGAGAAATGAGGTGGTTGGAGCAACACAATACCTACCGCACGATGCTTCTCAAAGGTCAGGTGAAAGGGCAACCGAAACCAATAAAGATGATGAATCTGGTAAGTTCCGCCATACAAGTTGCTTTGCATCAAGATGTGGTCTTCTCGAAATGTGCAGACGGCTTATGCGAAAGTTGTGCTTTCCGAATCGTACTCTGTGGAAATAAATAAGCATTCTCGTTTGACATTGTTGAGCATCTCACAAAACGTGCCACAATAAAACAAATTAGGCCAGCAAATTACGTCTACTTCATTTAAGTTAGACAGTTAGTTAGCTTCATGACTGACTTGAATGATAGACACGGTTTTTACTACTGGTGAGTCCCAAACAAACCAAAAGCTCCCGAAAATCATTGGCTTTCGTTGGTTGGGATCTGATCTGGTTTGTCTACGGCCGACCACGACGCAATACAGATTAAGAACGGACCAATCGAAAGAGACAACAATGGGCGGCAATTCCAGCAGCAGCGGGGCCGTAAGAAGCAAGATCAGAACAACCGGAATCTAGGTTACAACGCAAAGGTTGCTCTTCGTAAACTAAATAAACGCAGGCATGAGGAGAGGGACTACCAAACCAACAGCGCACTAAAGATGTCTCCTCGAATGGTGACGAACAGTTTGCAAATCAATCGCCAAGTTCGGCGAACAGATCAAAAGCCACCTGATCAATTACCACCTAATGCACCCGAGCTACCAGTATTCCAACACATTACCAATATTGCCCTCTATCGGTTCATGCATAAGTCCGATCAATCTGTGGCGTTTTTGAAAAGAGAAGTTTTTCATTTCTTCGGTAAATCTTTGAAAAGTTTTACCGGTGAATAGGCATGCTTTTCAGCGCAACTGAATTTGCTCTTACCGTTTGCGTTAGTGCAAACACATCGTGACCATGATGGGGATGAAACTCTTTTTGGTTTAATCAGGAATGCTTATGTGCCGTTGCATCCCTCAGATGAGCGTTGCTGCGCCTGAGCTACAGTCAACAATCAGTTTATTACGATACTGCAAAACTCGAGCAGAGCGGAGGCTTTCTAATTATTTTGTTCAAAATGTAAGAAAAATGTGACAGACGTGACCTAAATGTCCGCCGGAAAATAGAGGCTTCATGTAACAAATTCAAGACGATACAAAATCTATGATTTTGCAACCACTTTCTAAAGTAGACCCGCAGACTTTTTGGCTGTTAGATCTTTTGATAACCCATGAATTCGAAGGATAATTGGTGCTATTTGTTCAGTGTACCGGAAAGTTATCTGTAAAGCGACGATTATGCCCCATCGTGGTTTGTGCTGAGCAATTTCCGCTTTGCTGTCTTTGCTTCTGATCCTTCACGCAAATTGTTTTATTTAGCACTGACAGGCTGCCTTGCTCATTTGTGCCAAACCAGAAAAACGGCTGTGCCTGAGCTCAGTAGAGTACTTCTTTGTATCATATCACATCCCAGATGTTTATTACGCCCCCCCAAACATATCCCTATACGCTGCGGCAAAGGGAACTTCATAGAATAATAGGGGAAATTTATTGAGCTCTTAGGCACATCTAATCACCTGAGCTCAGGGATGATTTTTGCCCCGGTACGCTTGCACTCTAAAGGAATTTTAAATCTGTAGGTGTGTTGCGAGTCTACTGATATTTTAAAGTCCCCATTCGTGCGCTTGGGCGATCTTGACGGTCGTACGGTATTTTATGCATATTTCCGCTTTTATATCAGGGAACAAAGTACTAACCGCCCCGCTGAGGTTAACTGAACATGGCTCTGGCAATAGACTGGGACAACAAGATTTGGTTCATAAAGGAAACTAACCACAAGGTTGCTGAAAACTCTTCGACAGCAACCTTCTTCTTCAGCAACCTTGTGAGTAGATTCCTCTGTGAAAATATACTGCGATACCTCGAATATCGTGCCAACTGAATCATGAGGCGGCCTGTGCGCAGCACATTCAGTTGGAGGACATCATAAACGAGAGATTCAATCGAGTCTCCCGTGAAAACCAAATTGATTTGCAAATGAGTGTATTTCTAGAATATATTTTTTTCAGTTATATCGTTGTTCCACCTCGCAACATTTGCATTAATATGCCCTACTTCAATGTACTCAAATCCACCGGAAACCTTGGTGGATCGCTTATATGTGTGAATTCATGAGTTACCCTTCTTGCATTAACCTACCACTGAGTACACAGCTAATTTAAACCATCTTTTGGCATTTCCTGTGACCGGACAAGGTACTGGTGTGAATGCTGTTTAGCTGACTAATCCGGGCATATATAATAGGGTCATCAACATTGCTCAGTCCTGATGGGTGATGCACCTACTGTTGGAAAAGAAATTCTGTCGAGGTTACTATAAATTCTTTCAACAGATTAAAGTAGGTCACAGGAGATGGTGAGGCTTTTCGAGTATCTAAGTACACTATCAGTTATTACTGAGAATACTCTAAATGTAAGCATATTATTATGCCACTTTCCGCTTTAGCACTGGCAAAGTTTATTGATGGTCCATTATGTAGGACAACTTCTGGGGAACACCAAGAAGACAGTTATCTGGAAAGCACTGCAGTGCTCCCGTGCAGAAAATATTGCTGATCTCCACAAGCATGTCGTAAGGCGGGGCTTCGGGCCTCGAGGAAAACCCCTCTGTACTATTTTGCTCTAAATGGGGTTAAAAAGACACATTCCTAACCCATCAGAACATCTGCTAATATGCATATTATATGTACTTTGGCGACCAAGGAATAGACATTGTCGGCGGGTCTAGACACGGTAATAGTGGAGGTGATGGCTATATGGTTCTAAAGAAATTCACAGTTGAAGTTTGCATTCTGTGATTGTGCAGAATTATGGATGTTTTAGCACACAGAATTCGATGGGACATGGAGCCATTCACAAACTCTTGTCAAAGCTAAACTCCCGAAACCCGGGTCCTTTTCACACCCTGCATTATTGAAACTCATCAGCAGTATGGTGATGATACAATCTGAGATTGTAAAGTGGTGGTAAACTTCACGGCACCACCTGCGTAGTTTGACTTCTGTAGATTAGTTTGCAGACAAATGCGAAGAATAAAGCAATATCTCATTCCGAAACAAAATGTAACATGTTTAACTCCCCATTATGACATTTTTAACTTGAACACCCCGCTAACTTTTGATAATAAATAATTGTGCATTAGCAAAAAGCGCATTTCTCTCAGATTTATTAAGACATCATTTATTTTTGTTCAGACATGGAATAAAGAACTAGCTGAAGCTGCGAAAAACACAGGAGCAGAAGAGTGCGCTGGGAAAATATCTGTGGATGGACTTATCCTCTTTGCACACGACCCTAATTTCGAGTAAGCAGAGCAAAGTTCTGCTTTGAGCCCACGTTTGCATAGATAGCATTGTGTTCCCATGCCTATTTCCGGCCCTCCGGAAATTATATTTTTTATTTTTTAGGCTATAGCACCGCGAAATCAAACCAAGAAATATTTTCGGTTTACCGTTTTTTACCATGATCCTGAAATGTTATACAAAGTCGTCGTTCTCGAATTGAACATGATGTCTGTGTGCTACTTTACAGTTCATCACTTGGATACAAGATGATGAATTTAAGATAAAATTAACCGACGGTGGACAATTTTACGGAATTAGCTCCGGCAATAGCGAAATGCACTCATTTGCAAAACACATGGCTTTGCGAGAGACTCACCTGGAACCCAGCTGAATCTCTTGTTTTTGATGTCCCCTGGCAACTGGATGTGCTGCATTAGGCCACCTCATGTTTCAGTCGCCATGATAATCGAGATACCTCGACGCCAGTACATTCATAATGCACTACTGCTGAGCCCCAAGAAGGCCGAAACGGATCGCGGGCTGTCGATGAATTTCCAGCAAACTTCTGTGTAGTGCAATAGATCCTACATGTTCCTATCGGGCAAATTCTTTAATTCTGCTGCACAAAATGCTCTTCGGTGCATTTGAGATGGGGAACAAATTAACTGGACTGTACTTTTCAACGTCGCAATCTTCATTCAGACGTTTAAAATGCTTTTCATGTCAAACTATCGTGAAATTCAGCTTTTATTGAGCACTTGCGGCAATAAGATTAAACATTTCCAAGCTTATAAAATATCTGATTATTTGCTTTGGATTGCTCTAAGAAGGATCTTACGTGGTTTTTATTGCTCATCGTCTGCCCGGCTACCAAAATCTCTCAATATTAGTTCACCTATATCCTCCAAAAAAGTGCTTCGTTCACATAAACAGTATGTGCAATCAGTAAGCCTTCATAAGCCCGCGATCATTCCACGTTTATACTGCTCAGTCGATGGTTACATGGCAAATAATTGAGCGCTTTAATCCTGAGCGACGCTTTATTTGCTTATTACACGTGTGTTGTTTTATTTTAGTCTTATCAATTGAAATTTTTGCTGGCAACAAGAATTGTTTCTAGGGCTGTCATGATTTATGGACGTGAATTCCAAAGTTTCAATTTTTTGTCGCATAGATGAACATGATTTGCAGAACATATTTATACGAACAAAATGGGTGAAACCTCGCTGAATATTAAGCTACATTTACCTACCGCCCGTCAGCCGAACCATGTTGAGTCCAGAAAGACCCGCCGTTAGAATGGGACAGCGTGACTGCAGTTTGACCGCTCACTGGTAAAATATTACCAGTCAAAAGTAGGAGCATCGTTATCCCGGCATCTTCTACCTGTGCACCTGTAGAACCACAAGGTATACACTATGTTGGCTTTTAAGGGGCTAACGTCTTACAAGTTGAGTATCAATGTAGCAATAACTCGCCATTGATTACAGACGTTAAAGCCGAACCATGTTGAGTCCAGAAAGACCCGCCGTTAGAATGGGACAGCGTGACTGCAGTTTGACCGCTCACAGTCAAAAGTAGGAGCATCGTTATCCCGGCATCTTCTACCTGTGCACCTGTAGAACCACAAGGTATACACTATGTTGGCTTTTAAAGGGCTAACGTCTTACAAGTTGAGTATCAATGTAGCAATAACTCGCCATTGATTATCAGACGTTAAGTAACTTGCAATTTTTCAGACAAATAGTTGCATAGGTAATCAAACACATCTCTGTTCCCAGTTAATACGGCAAAAGCATGCTCGCTACACATGGATATAGCTAAGTGGCCCTGGCGTAATTATTAATCTGCCGGCATCGGATGTGACATATAATCATGTTATACTTCCACGATTTCTTTAGACGATAACTAACTGTTCGCCTTTTCCTTCAATATCCCACATACAGCTTTGTGAAGCATTGGTTTCAACAGCATACAACATATACTTACGGCAGATTTCCAACCGAAAACTATGCCGATAACTTTATGTACACGCAAGTAAGATAGATTTATTTACCCCTCCAGAAGAAAAAAGATTGCAATGTAAGCCGATATGTCTTTTTTGGTTATTTGTCTAGACATGTCATCGATGCACTTCTTCATATGTGTCCTGGAACCATTAGCACAGGCAAAAGATTATATGATGGAAAAATAAGGTAGTTTCCTGTAAAATATTCAGGCCCACTTTGTGCAAATTCACTTGTTGTTTTACCATATCAATGTTTTTCACACAGCTAGGATAGGAAAGGTTCTATGGCACAAATTTTTTTGTATGCGCAAGCATCGGACCTTGTAACGACATCGGGACGACAGCGGTACGGACTAACATGTAACATAAATGAAAAATATTCAAATGCACGTCATTAGTAAGAGATGGGGAGACGAATGTAGGAGAGAAAATTTTTATTCCTGCCGTGAATTGGTCCCGTAACTGTGACAATTTTTTTGGTTCTTAAACCTTTGTGATGGATGGCTGCAGATTTAGAATCAGTGTTGCTTTCCCGTTTTGTTATTTTAATTTTGTGCCTATACATGCTTTCTTTTTTTGCCCCAAACTTGAACCAATCTTTGATTTTGTCGTCACAAACCTAGCTTAATACAATCACCTGAGCTTGGTCATCTTGTGCCCAATTTGACTTGATTAAATATGGATTCTTGGTAGGCGTACTGTATCCTACCCACCTGTTTTTAAAGGGTCGCACTTAGAATTGGTAGTATACAATCCAGCCAGCGTAATTTAACGACTTGAGGTATGCAAAATGTTTATATATTATACTGCTGTGCCGCATTTGTTGATAACCCTCCATTCGAAAAATTCGACTTTGGGTTTTTGCGTATAACTGAACGTGGCTCACCTGATTGTTGGAAACAATCAAAACAGAATGCACAGTTTTCAAGTCGACATACCTCTGTAAGGCGACTTATGCATTACCTGCATGTACACCTACAATAGCGTGGGAGCACCTGGTTGCAAAACCAGGAATCGAGTAATTTTGTGCATTCTGACATTGCGGCAACGACAATCCAGCGGTCCAAAGGGGAAACCCTCTTAAGGAACACCCAGCTAACACTGCGAGATGTATTTCACTGGCACAATAAACGTCATTTTCCAGTAATTTGGCATTTTTCAATGTTCATTACTTGTTCCCATCGATTCATTCATAATCATAACAAACCACCATGACATTCTGTTGTCAATTTTTCACTAGATAGTATGGGCAGCCACGCGGCAAATCGGCTGTCATGAATATTTCTGCGAGTCCTATCAGCTGGGAACGGGAAGTGCAACAACTATGTACATTTCAGTGTGCATGTATTCACCGAAGTGAGCAACAAAACTGTTGTTGCATTCGATTACTATAGATATTGGTATTTGTGTTATCATCTCCAAAATGGTTTCCGATTTCAATTGCCGCGTCATGTCATAAGCCATATTAATATTTTTGTTTACAGGGGAAATATACAAACCTACTATCCTTATGCAACTCCGGAGACAGCGAAGGAATGTAAGTCTTTCAAATTCAAATTTACATTTTTTGGGACTCTACCCTGAACGTGGTGGGGCTTTGATTTACCCTGATCATCTTACACCACTTGTCTCATCTTTCTACGTTTCTCAGTTTCAACTTGCCCATGCGTATACAGTGAACAGAAGGCTAAATTTACTTTGGTGTTTCCCCTGAGCACGATCAACTGGTTTCCCAAACTCAGACTTGAGCCTAAGTTTTCAGTTTTGTTAATCGTTATTAGAGACTATCTTTGCCTCTAAAGCGTCTGGGAGAACCCGTTTGAAAAAAAATCCAAAAGAATTGGCCAGAATTCTCAACAGAGAATAAGTATTCAAGTATCCGAATCGAGTACTAAGGAATTTATCCTGTGAGATTGTGGGATCGTAGGAGGAATTACGTGCGGCAGCCCACATCGCAACCTAAAAGGATGCAAGGACGCCGGTTGTTAGGTTTTGGAAGGTTTTACGAAATTACGGCAATTATTCGCTCCATTCATGTTAGAAAGCAAGTAGCAAGAATCTTCAGGATTATTATCCCATGCAAACCCACGGAGACCCCAAAGCTCGCACCTGGTATCAAGGCTACTAGCAAGCGTGACAATGCTCAGAAAAACGTGTTATGAGATAATGTATTTTAGATCACACTAATTTGGACCACGTTTTCCAAAGTTTGCACTTGCCAATAATTATGGAACCCGCCCACCAGTGCTAACTTTTCAGGTAATTGGTAACATGCGCCGTTTGACATTTATTTATATATACATATACATACATATACTAAATATCTGCCTCTTACACGAACGCTTTCAGTAAAAGAAGCAAAAGGTATGTTTTTTACTTGCAGCTTAGGTTTTTTGATTTCCCTAACATTGTCATTTAAGAAAAACACATTAGTGATTTTATATTTTGAAGCATTCATTCCGTAATAGAAATATTATTGCCAAATTTGTCTATTCAATTGCTGTGATGCTTCTACTTACTTAAAAAGACTGAATTCTTTTTTTGAAATTATCACCCTTCATAGTCAAGGTAGCTTAAATGCTTGTTGAGTAGTGGCTAATCGTGGGCGGTTCCCTCATTCATTTTTTCAGCTAGAAGAAAGGAACTTAAGGCCGGTGAGCATACGTTTGCTTCTTTGAAAACCGACTACCCTAAAGAAAAATGCTCCGCTTGTATAAACTGCTGGCTGTCCTATTTTTGAAGTTTATTCACAGTCGTTTTCTTACAAAACATCCAACGTTTTCCAATATTTCTGCAGATGCAATTAAATTGTGTTCCTTTTTTATGGGGTATTTGGAATAGTTTGGAGATTAAATATGGAGTTCGGGTGGATTCGTTTGTTTCTGAGTGGCCGCCGTAATTAAATATCGGCTTATTCGTCTAAGCTAGGCACAAACTGATCACAGTCTTCAAAGAGTTTTTCCATTGTTTGAATGCCCTTGGTGTTATTGGTATTCGTTAGCGATTCCAGCGAGTGTGCTAGGATTCAACTTATATTGTTACGATCGATGGAACGCCAGTATGCACTTCGAAAACCTTTATTCCACATTTAGTGGCTATATTAGGAAACCCAGCTTCAACAGCGTAACGTGTTCCGCAAAATTATATTATTTAATAAGAAGTTACAAATTTTATGGCCAGTTCTGGAGGCATAAAATCTATCGTCATCTAGATTAAAAATACGGTATACTAGATTGAAACGCTGCTGGGGCTTAAAACTTTGTTTGATGGTTTTGCATTTGATGTATAACACTTTCACACAACTAAATAATGTCCCCAGTCGGGAAAGCCCAATTGAAAGGCACGAGAATACATATGCCTGATTAATACAGTAAAATATTGCCACAGTAGCACAGATTTACGCATCGGCTGCAAACGAGATCCCAAACTGTAGACGTCCAACAAATTGACACAAATGCCCGAGAAGTTAACAAATCTATTAAAAGCTATTTAGGAACTGTTCACCCGCCAAAGACGACATATTGATTTACTTAGATGAGACAAGTCAGTGCGTAATGCTCTCTAAGACAAGTGGTCGATGATTGCACATGGAGGGGAGTAGACCACTGCGTAGAAAAGAATTGCTCTGCAATAAAAAAACGGTAAATACGCTTTCACTTCTAAATGTTTGACTGTTGTTGTTGGTGTTCAAAAAGGAGAGGGCGCTCTGGAGTCCCTTGAGAATCCAACAACCATCCGTGTAAGAATCATACAGCAGTTGACGGCGTACCAAAATTAATTAAACTCCATTTAACATACGCAATACCCTGGACTAGGATTGAGTCTACTGCCGAGGTCACCAAGAAACTGATCAACCTCTATCCCAGTGACTATCCTGCCTGCTTTTTATATGCTAAACATCTGTTGCATGATTCTTGTTTCCTTGGAACTGACGGACGGCCATAAATTACCTTTGTCTACTAACTTCCATACTGGCACTCTGTTGCTAAATCCACTTGGATTGTTTCTAATACACTGTTGTTTATAGAATATGCCTCCAGTCTTCAACTTTGCAAACCGCAGTTCCCTTCGAATCACACTTTCAGTTGCCAAAGGTAATCCGTTTTCGTTAGAATATATATGTATACTTTTCAAGCTTACGGGTCCAATGTTGTTTGGTCCAATGAAAATTTCATTTTTGAAACAAATGACTGTTGTGGTGTTCTATATTAATTAGATTTGTTTAGGCAAGGATAAGAAACCGCTTATCTGAAATCAGTCATTCACACAGATTGTCGTTCACAGTATACTTTCGAAAAGGAACTTTCTCAACAGTAGCCAGTCCCACATTCATGAAAGGTTTGAACCTACTCAGGAGAGTTAAATCCCCAAAAATCCTTACATTACCTTCAGCGAACATTGGGGAAAACCGCTTTGAACGAATGTTTTATTCTTCTAGCCGCTTTAAAACTAGTACACGGATAAGCACACTGTCCTGTTTACTGGTTTGACTAGCATTCAAATGGCAACCGTTGGTTTTATGGTGGCCACGTAAAACTGGACATTTAATAATCATGTGTTTTACCACTTTGTGGGGGGTTAGTGCAGAAAAACTAGTAGTTTGATATAAGCCACTCAATTACTATACAACTCACGAAAGCAGACCACCATATAAAGTGTGCGTAACCCAATGGCGAAAGTTTTGGAAGAAGTCTTGAATAAGATGTTTGTACTCAGCAGCACTGCTCTATATTTACCGTTTGTAGAGAGTTAGAATTTTTACCGGTTTGTTCGGACAAGACCTTCAGTGAGCTAAAGTGACCATAAAAGATTGCGACGTCCTTCACTTCACTCACAATTCACATATTGAGTTTCTTCAATATTTCCTTGTCAAATGATTTTCTAAGAATATATAAAATACAATAAATAAACCAATATATGTAAGCAAAAATATATTAATTTACTAGTATTAACTTCATTCCTCCCCGTTTCGCTCCGCGCAGAAAACGAGAAAAAATTATTGAAGAAGGTTTGGATACCAAAACCAATACCCGAAGCCAGTAGGTAGTTGCTTTTCGATGCAACGACGTTTCCTTTTTATACTTCATGGTGATAATTTAAAGAGTGGTTCGCAAGTCCTTTTTTCATCTAAACGATGTAGCAACCAGCAATAAAAAGCACAAAGTAAACATTCTCAATCACCGATTGAAATCACATCCGCAACACACGTCAACAAAAATCCCACTAATGTTGTTAAGGTTGATTTTTTTGTTTTACTACCCAACAGTATATGGTCTTGATAAATCACTCGGTCAGTTTGAGAAATATAATAGTGAAGCGTTTTGCGGACACACATCACATGCAAAGCGATCAAGATTGCGTAATATACAGAGAAAAAGTTATTTTACATTGCTCGGCAAACAAGGTTTAAGCAACCTAAAAGTTACGTGAAGTTCTCCTTTCGTTAGTGACTGCCAAAAGAGCTTTAACTAGTTCGTTTCGCATTATTGGGCCGCATTTTTTAACAAAACTGTTTTGACAAACACAAACCACATTCGCTTTGACTACAGGCCTGGTGAATAGAACGGTGACCATCAAACATATTCCCAACCTCTACTACTTCGTTACCAGTGAACGCCTAAGTTGTGCGTGGAAAATAACGAAACTAGCGCACGTGATTTAGCATTTGAAATTGTTCCCGATCATACTAGGAATAAACCTTCAAAACACAGATCCGGTAGTATAATGTTGGTTAAATATCAACTATCTCTTTCTTTCTTTCTTTTATTCGCCAACGTTTACCTCATGAACGCGTCTGAAAGCCTTCTTTATTTGATGATATTGTTGGCGTTGCTAAGGCTTCCGGGGAAGGCAAGAAGTATTATGTGCCAAAGGTGTACTAGTTCCTAAGTTCTCGATAGGTTTTGAATGATTAACACTATTTATTTACTCAGTGTGATGTGAATTTTGTTTTCCTACATGCGTCACACACTGCAGTGTTTTTGCAGTAAACTATTCTATTCCTCACTGCACTAGAGTATGCCATGCTATTTCATATATTCAATGCACTACACCACCACGTTGCTGTTCCACTATTTGTACCACTGATCAAATATAAGAAAAAAGAGCCCGAGGGGTGAATTAGACTCCTATTTACCATTCACAGATCGTTAGATAATGATCAAAAGCCGCTTGCATGAAAACAGTCTCTTTGCTCCAGCCATCGCCAAAATTTCAACCTTGACCGCAAAAATGTCAGCTATCATCAAAAATGTCAGAACACCAGGTGAATGAGCTTGCATAAAGCATTTATGCTAAGAATAATATTTGATATCCCGTTGACTTATCGAGATGAAATCCTCAAGGACTGGGAATAAACAGGATGGAAAATGAAGCTGCAAAACCACACATAACATTTTTGCTTTCTGAGTGAAACAGGCACCTGCACCTGCAAGTAAAAAGAACGCGCCGATAAACCTGGGATATTGGAAGTTACTAGTGTGTACAAAAGTTTGCACAAGTAGTGCCTTACCTGGTGAATTGGCGCAGAACGT